CAGGAGGCTGAGATCTGAGGATCGCGGTTCAAAGCCAGCCCGGGCAGGAGAGACCGTGAGACTCTTATCTCCAATAAACCACCAGAAAACCAGAAGTGGTGCTGTAGCTCAAGTGGTAGAGCACTCGCCTTGAGCTGAAGAGCTGAGGGACAGCGCCCAAGCCCAGAGTTCAAGCCCCACGACCGACAAAAAAATAAATAAATAAATAAATAAATTACATTACTCAACAGTTGGCAAAAAACCTTTAGCACAAAGCCTATTTGTAATCAAGTAAATAACTCCTGTAATTTATTTATTTGATTACATTTGTTTATCTGAATAAACAGTTATATATTCAAATAAAATTAATATTCACTTAATTTATTATTTAGGTTATTGTTTTAATTATTTAAATGTTTAAATTATTTGAGCTGGGCATTAGTGACTCATGCTCCTTGGGAGGCTGAGATCTGAGGATCTCCCTTCAAATCTAGCCTGGGCAGGAAAAGGCTGTGAGACTCTTATCTCCAATTAACCTCCAGAAAACCAAAGTGGAGCTATGGCTCAAAGTTGTAGAGCACCAGCCTTGAGTGAAGGATCTCAAGGACAGTGCCCAAGTCCTGAATTCAAACCCCACAGCCACCACCAACAACAAAAATTTATTTGAATGAATACTTAAATAAATTTGTTTGAGTAGCTCATGTGATTTATTTATTGACCACTATAATGGAAATGAAAAACAGAATGGTCAGATGGGTACACTTTCACACGATTGGAAAATCAAGTCTCTATTTTGGCCCCTGAGATGCCTCCTAAACATCTGCAGAATCATGCAGTAGTTTTCAAATCATTAGTAGTACTAGTAGTAGTAGTAGTAGTATCATTATCATCAATACTTGGTAGAAACAAAACCCTCCTGGAAGCCCAGGAGGGCTAGATCAAGGCTGAGCTGCTGGGGAAGGGGCAGTATGCTCTTCTCTTCTCCCAGACATCCCTAATGACCCTCTTCTGGACCCCCAGGGCTCTCCAGAGAACAGTCTAAAAGCCTTTGGAAGTTTCCAGGCATTCTTACCTCCCATGTGGTCTTTACTGAGGCCTTTTATCCCTAGAGATTTCCATTGTCCTACCTGCAAGTTAAGGGACTCAGCAAACCTCCCTTTTGCCTCCCAGTCTGCAAAATGCTGTAAGTTCATTCACACCCACACAGCTGAGGCTCTGTCCTCCCTGCCGGTGACTGCATTTTGACAGAAAACCACATTTGAGGGAAAAGCACTGCATTAGAGAATTGTCTATCTGTGCCCACCACAGGAGAGAAATAAAAAAGGAAAGCTATAATCCTAGCTACTCAGGAGGCTGAGATCTAAGGATTGAGGTTCAAAGCCAACCCTGGCAGGAAAGTCCTTGAGACTTTTCTCTCCAATGAACCACCACTAGCCTTGAGATAAAGCTCAGGGACAATGTTCAGGTCCTGAGTACAAGCCCCCAGACACACACACACACACACACACACACACACACACACACACAGAAAAGGTGAAGAGGTTGTGACATTTTGTCATCTGCTATGACCATGAAGGTCAAGGTTGAATGCGTGGTCCCAGGGAGGAGACAGAAACCCAGATCCTAGAGAAATGAGTGAATTTTCCAAAGTTCAGTCCAATCAGTCCTCCCTCCCACTAAAGAAAAGTCTTGGCCAACAGAGTTGGATTCCTACCTGAGGCACCAGCCAGGTGTGTTCAACCACTGAGCTTGAGGCCCAGAAACCAGAGTAACCTAACAGTTAGAGGAACTGGAAGAATAAAGGGAAACAAAGAAACCACAGCAAACCACACCTCCCTTCTGAGTCCCACCCATGCCCATTTTTGGTGAACTAAAGATTTATGTCATAGGATTCTGGGCATCCAAGTTTCCAGGGGTCCCTATGTCCAGCAAGGTATCTTGTGCAAAGCTGGAGTTGAGAGTTTCATTGTCTGGACTCTCCACTTTGTGGATGATCACTTTGACTCTCTCCATTGCCTGAATTTGCCTCCATTTGTTTATCCTCAAATTCCCAAGTGGGTCATCTTCCAAAGTGTCCAATGTTGCTGGCAAGGAGAGAGGCTAAATAAAGGATGGGTCTTTAGATAGATAAGGTTGTATGGTGGAGCCCTCCACCATAGACTGGTAAGCTGGTATAAAGAGTCTCTCACTTTTACTTACAGCTGGCACTCTACCACTTGAACCATAGCTCCATTTCCTGAGGATCTAGACTTATAGGTAGGAGCCACAGATACTTGGCTAAGTATATAATGTTTAATTCTATCTTAGACTTCTTTAGCATAGTCAAGAATTAGAGGAGAAACCCAAGTCCTCTCTTTCAATCATTACCAGTCATTGGACGGTTTGAGTAGCTCTGGGCTTGGAACATGGACCATTCCTGGAGCCTGACTGGAGGGCAGAGAGATCATTAGGGCTGGAACAGTCACAGGCAGAAAGTTTGGGGGTCCATGTCAATATTGCTCCCCATTTAGTAATAAAGGGCAGCAACTCTGGGAAGCTGCCCTAGCTGTCTACTAGCCTTATTCCTCTGTCATTTAAATCACTTCTCCATTTTAGCATAAACTCTACTGTACAGTAATCATGAGTCTACAAGCCAGGCTCTGCCCCTACACTGTGAGCTGCTAGAAAATAAGAATCTCAACCTAGCTTTTCAGGAGGCTAAGATCTGAGATCAATTTGAAGTCAGCCTGGACAGACAAATCCAACACTTTTGTCATCAATTAACCACCAAAACTCTGGAAGTGAAGCTGTGACTCAAGTGATAGAGGACCAGACTTGAGCCAGAAAAAGCTAAGAGACAATGCCCAGACCAGAATTCAAGCCCAGTACTAGAACATACATACATACATAATAAAAACAGAGCTGGGAATGTGGCTTGGTGGTAAAGTGCTTGCCTAACACCCATGAAGCCCTAGGTTCAATTCCTCAGTATCACATAAACAGAAAATGTCAGAAGTGGCACTGTGGCTCAAGTGGTAGAGTGGTAGCCTTGAGCAAAAGAAACTCAGGGACAGTGCCCAGGACCTGAGGTCAAGCCCCAGGATTGGCAAAAAATAGAATAAAATACAATAAAACTCCCCCAATTTGTCTTCACATCATCTGCCAAGGAATATTCCAAATTCTTGACTATAGTTATAGAAGGGAAAAAAATGACTTGTTTCTTGTGACTCATGAAGCACAAATCACTTCTAGCCTCTAGAATGGGCCTTTTTTGGCCACATACTTATACCTCTGGTATGTCTGTCAGCTTCGCTTCTATAGCCAGGCTGCATGGCTCCTGCCCAGCCTCTTATGCTATTTGAAGTCGCTGCCAATCTTTCTAAGTGTAAACCCTGTCCCTCCCATAAAGGCCAAATTTCCATGTTGCTCATGCCTGCAGTTGTGCCATTGGCATCCATATTGGTTTTGTTTGGTTGGCTTTGCTTTGGTCTTGGCTGGGGTGGGGGTAGGCGCTGGACGGTGTATTTTTTTTTGGCTGAGTTGTGATCTTCTCTGGGATGGGAGAACAATAGGAAGTGTCAGGAGACCATTGCCTGGGAGTTACACTACTTTTTACTGACGCAGTGTCTCTTTGGATCTGATGCCTGGACCAGAAAGGACTTGAAAGCAGAGTAGCCCCAGAAGGAAGGGAATCACCCTCAGTTACCTCGAGATAAGGCAGTTCATGGGAAGGAAAAACAGCCAGTGCCTAGAGTGCATGACACTTCACAAGCAAGCCAAGTTGCTCAAGAGGGAAGAGTTTTCACCACAAGGGGGCAGCACTCACAGGCCAGCCAGGCACTGGCAGGCAAACCCACTGGGTTGTCCAAGCTTAAATGTTAAACCCAGTTTTCAGGGCTTTCTCTAAGCCCTGAGACAAGCCACTCCTGTCTACTTCAACAAATGACTGTGGAAGCTGGGCGCTGGTGGCTCACGCCTGTAATCCTAGCTACTCAGGAGGCTGAGATCTGAGGATCAAGGTTCAAAGCCAGCCAGGCAGGAAAGTCGATGAGGCTCTTATCTCCAATAAACCACCAGAAAACCAGAAGTGACATTGTGGCTAAAGTGGTAGAGTGCTCACCTTGAGCTGAAGAGCTGAGAGGCAGCACCCAGGCCCAGAGTTCAAGCCCCATAACCAATAGGAAAAATAAATTATATATATTCATAAACACACACACACACACATGAATGACTATGGAAATACATCTGGTCTACCTTAGTGGCTCTCCAGAGAAGCACTCAGTGACATCAGTGAGGGCTTAGGTTCCGACAGGAAGGTAGATCTGGAGGACAGAGGTTGGAAAGAATCACTTATCACTTTATAGTAGGAAAGCGCATTATTGATGGAGGAGGAGGAAAGGCACCCAGAGATAAGCTTGAAGTACAATTTTCCACTTAAAAATGTTCCGGCAAGTCAGCCCACCCCTGCCCCACTCCCACTCTTGTGTATCTCTGCTCCCTCTCGCTCTGACTTATAATACTCCCATTAAGAAAGCATCATTCTATCCTAAGAGAACACTCAGTCCACAATCATGATCCTGGCAGGTCCAACTCGACGCCAGTCAACTGGCAAATCTTGGAGGCTCGGAGGCTCGGGTCTCTTTGCCACGACCTTGTCCTTGCCCTTGTGTTTTCAGAAGGGAGGCTCTTAGGCAAGATGATGTGCGCAGGTGGGAAGTGGCGGCTCACACCTGCAATCCTAGCTACTCAGGGGGCTGAGACCTGAGGATCAAGGTTCAAAAGCAGCCCAAGCAGCCAGATCCAAGAGATTCTTGTCTCCAATGAAACAGCAGAAAAGTCAGAAGTGGAGGTGTAACTCAACTGACATAAAGCACTGCGAATGAAATAAACCTTTGGAGAATGTAAAGGTCTGAATTCAAGCCCCAGTGCTGTCAACAACAACAATAATAAACTGATCTGAGTAGCACAATGCAATGTTTCTTTCTTGCCCCTCCATCAGCTCAAGTGCCTGCCTAAGCACCTCCTCAAATTCTTCCAGAAGAAACTGCTTGGCTCAGGAGATCAAAGTGAAGGAGGGTTTCTCCCCTCTTTCCGTGACATCTCCATGGCCACAGGGACCTATTTTTGAGGGTAAGTATGTAACCGAAGATAAGCCACAGGTCAGGTGTTTTTTTCGATGCCTAGGAGAAGCAAATGTGTCATCTCCTTACAACTGGCAGCCATTTTGTGACCAGGAGTATCAATACAAGTCTATGGAGCCAAACTACACACTGGGAGGAAGGCAGAGTTAAAAGAACCACCAGGAAATGGACCCAGGTTCCTGAACAAATCATGCCTAGGGCCATCTTTCCTCTGTACTTATCAGTTCCCTGAGGTATTAAATTCCCTTCATTGCTAAGACCAATTCAAGTTGAGTTTTCTGCTACCTGAAACTCAGATCATGCCCAAGAGAGAATTCTGGAGGACAAGAGTGATCTTGGATGAGAGGGGTCAGGTATGTCAAGAAGTCTACACTATGACAGAGGACAGAGCAGTCCCCGGCAGAGGAGCATCCTAGACAGTCACAGACAGGAACCCAGACTCCAACGAAAGCCCGAGATGGATCTTTTTGTTTTCCTTTTTCTTTTGTCGGTCATGGGGCCTGAAGTCTGGGCTGGCGCTGTACCACTTGAGCCACACAGCGCCACTTCCAGCTTTTTCTGCTTATGTGGTGCTGAGGAATCGAACCCAGGGCCTCATGCATGTGAGGCAAGCACTCTACCACTGAGCCACCTTCCCAGACCCTTTTTATTTTTGATCCAATTTTCTCATTGGCTAGCACTCTACTAACTGAGCCATGCCTCCAGCCCCCTAAGAAGAATCTTGAAAAGTAGACACATGAGGACTCATCCTGAAGAGATTAGGAAATCCTTCTGAAGGATCTAGAAAGCCCTGCTTTGAGCCAGACCATGATTCAAATGCTGCCTCTAGCTTATGCTAGTTCATACCAGCACGTGCCTGCATTTTGGAAATAAACCCTACCTCATGTAAACAAGTGAATTCCGCCATTTTTATTTCTCTTCTTTTGTCAGTACTAGGGTTTGAACTCAGGACCTTATGCTTGGTAGACAACTAGACCACTTGAACCACACACAGCCCTTCAGCCCAGTGAATTTGAGAAAATCTAAAGGCCTTGAGTATCTCAAGGGGGGTAATCTGTCTCTTCCTCTCCCTCTGGGCCACCATATCACCAGCCTGACTTTGTTTACTCAGACTGCCCTGACAAAGCATTACAAATGGAGTAACAATACAATGTTACAGTCTCACAGTTCTGAACAGTCCAAGTCTATGAACAAAGGATCAGCAGGCCTGGTTCTTTATCTGAGAGCTGGGGGCAGTCTAGGCCACACCATGCCTCCCCTCAGCTCTTGGTGGTTTGCTGGCAATCCCTGGCCTCCTCTGGCCTGTGGCCATCCCTGGCCTCATCTCCGCACTGTGTTATCCCAGGGTGTAGGTGTTTGCATGTATTCTCCCCTTCTCTAAGGGACACCAGTTTCATTAGATTAGGGCCCTCCTCTCCAATGACTTCATCTCAACTAATCACATCTGAAACAAACATAATTCCAAACAAGATTGCCTCCTGATCTTCCACCCAGAGCCTCCTCTGGCCAAATCCTCCTACTCTGCCCGGGGGCTCTTCTTCTGCTTTGGACACCCACCAATCTGTTGTCTCTGCTGAAAAAACTCTTCCTTAGACTCCCCCCAAGTACATACTACCTGCTACCTTCTCCCAAGGCCCACCCTGTCAA